AGGCTGCCAACTCGGTCCTTCTTGAGACTGAGGGGCGGACAGCAATTACTTCCTAATGCGAGCTTATAACACTACCTATCTGGGTGAGGTATAATATCTCTCAAAATGTTGACCGGCGCATATGGAGTAAGGACCAGACCACGCGTGACATGCGCAGATCGACTTTCGTTTTTGAAACTGCGCCTACGCCCACTTACAGCCGCCCTACTTAATCAGTACAAGGTAGCTGTAGGAAGACAGAGGGGAGTCGATGCAGCGAAAGTCTGCGTCACTACAAATTGGTCCACACGCAAGTCACATATGCGCCCTACCCCGTGTGGAAGCGCTGAATGTTGTTGGCGATGAAAAAAACACGGGTTGTTTGTATTAAACGATGACCCTTTTCCTGCCTTCAATTTTATAAATGAATAACTTTTGCTGTTGCCCATCGATGATGAACACCTCCACCCGTTGGCTGAGGGAATCTAAATGTGCCGCGAAATGATTTTTCAACCTAAGAAATTGGTGTACCTTTATTTGATGAGCCTAGATTAAAACTCCATGCATGTCTCTTGGTGGCTGTCTGGCTAGTGCTTCCGTGGCTGCAGCCGTCTTAGGTGACTCAAAAAAGAAGTCGTGACTTTCGGTACTGTAATGTGCCGCAAGTGGTTAATGTTTATGAGAGCAATGGACAACCAGCAGTATGAAACTACTGTTGCCTACCAATCAGTCAACCAACGCTTTTATCTACAAAAGTCCCATACTCCTCGGCTGTTTGCGTTTCGAGAGCTAGTAGGCTTACTCTGCTAGTAATTTCCTTGTATCGTGATTGGAGTAAAAAGTGTATGCGCCTTTCCTTGTTTCTTTGTATGTCTTTGAGGGGAAAGTCTCGAACAGCGTAATCACTGTTTCCTATTCATACATTTTTAGAAGCTGCTAGCTTTCCGAGAACACGTAGTTATAAGACTCAGGAACAGAACCTTTCCGGTACCGCGGATGGCCTTGTGCAGAATTACAGGAAGGGCACCTGTTCCCAAGTCATAATCCTCGTCCCAGAAATAAACGCAACCCTACTTAAACACTAATCTCCCTGGAATAGGCGGGGGAAGAGGATGAAACATTACTATTCCTGTGCCTACCTAGTTGAGTTTATAAGGTATAGAATTGGTCAAAATCGAACTCGGCAGCCACATCAGCATCCTAAATGCTGTAAGCAGTAAAGAGAAACATTTCGCTTTATGGGTAAGTAGGCGCCTTTGCCTGACACCAGTTTGTCGTCAGCGAATTAAAAAAATTCTATGTTGAGCCCATAAAATCCAGCCATAGGCGTGTCTTGTGACCGGCTATGTGGCGACGGGTATGCAAGTGAGCTGTCTGTCTAGTGACCTATTTGGTTAGTCGCTGAATGAAGATGTCCTTGCCGTCCATGGGCTGTTTTTGCTGACCCCACTAATTTATTTCTAAGACAGGGAATTTGGAAAGTCAATTGGTAAACATCTGTTTTCGATATTTCATCATCAGGCTGCTTCAATTACATGACAAATGCCCTTAATATACAGAAAACGCTCAAATCCTACCCGAATTTCCGTCCTCCCCCCAGCTCAAACGTCCTCGCCACGCTGACTCTGTCACCCAGGTGGTGTGAGAACGACACCGACACCCATAAAACCTGCCCATACCTAACAAGTTAATTCTGCATGTAATTGTAGTGGCTTGGTAATGAACTACCGAATTGCTAATTGACTTCTCAATCCTTAAATGGGAATTTTCATAGAACTTAAACAGCAGTTGCTCACCGGAACAAACTTGTACTGTCGCTGATGTTTCGATCGCTCGCCCGAACGTGGTTGGCTCTGCATTCTGAATGTCAATGATAAATTTAAGTGACTGGTCAAACTTACGGCCTTGCCTTTCGCGAATGAGGAAAAATCGATCAGTCCAAAGCCTACTAATTCGGCCCGGCATTTGTCAATTCTAATCTATATTTGACATTAAATGTTTTGAGAATTGAGAGCCGACCAAGGTCTGTGAAGTGTCAGCGTCGGCGACACCAACAAAACATCTGTTCCGGCGAGCAACTTGAGTTCCTCAGATGATCACCCCAGAACTCTTATGCTCGCAAATCTACTTTATTTCCGCCAGCAAAGTAAGCCTCGTGTATCCTATCGCATTTCAAACAATCTAGACTTAGCGATCATTGCATTTCACCGCAGCCTTGTGGTCCTGTTTTGGGGTGTCGCTTTACGGCCTGTCCAACCCCCGTGATAGTGGAAATAAATTGGCATCAGAAAACTGCGTCTCCCCTTC